CACCCCGTTATCTCGGTCCCATAAAACGGGAACAGGACGTCCCAGGAGGGAATCACACCCCGAAACCTCCCCAGCTGAAGGGGGGGGTGTCACCTGAGGGTGACCCCACGGCGTCACCAAGCCAAGAAGGACCCCCCAGGGGACCCCGGGGAGTGGGGCCCTGTGTCCCAGAGGGGCAGGAAATGCTTTGCAAGGGAGGGACTTTAACCAAATAAATAAAACCCCAACAAAGGGATTGCTGCGAAATGAAAAATAAATATTGGACTTGCAGGCGAGGGTGAGGCTTGGGAACATGGGAGAGAGGAGTGGGGACATGGCAGAGAGGAGTGGGGACATGGCAGAGAGGAGTGGGGACATGGGAGAGAGGAGTGGGGACATGAGGAACACCCAGAGAAAGGTGTGGGGACATGAGGGACGGAGAGAAAGACATGGGGGGACACAGACATGGAGCACAACGTGGGGGCACACGAGAAGCAAGGTGTGGGGACACGGGGGGACACAAGGGGGCACGTGGAACAAGGTGTGGGGGGACACATGGAGTGAGGTGGAGGGACACACAGAGCACAGCTCAGATTTCCAGGGCTGGAGAACTCCAGGTCTGCATTGAAGGATGGGGATGAGGACGGGATGGGGACAGGGACAGGGAGGCAGCCCCAGGGGGAATCTGGGCAGCTCCTCCTCACCCAGAGCACAGCAGCACCCCCAAAGCCACGCTCTGCACATTCCCAATCCTCCCTCCCCGCGGGATGCTGCAGGCATTCCTGAACCCTGCCCAGGCTCAGGGAGCTGCAGAGCCGGGGCAGAACGTGGCACATCCCCGGGCCAGGCTGGGACCAGCCCCGGGGGGGGGGTCCCCACCATCCCCCTCGCGGGGACGAGGCTCAGGGGAGCTGTAAATCCCTCGGCTTCCTGCTGGCACATCCCCGCAGAGCCGAGTTAATCATTGCCCAGACCGAAACCGCGCGCTGTGGCCGGGCAGGTCCCCGGGCAGTGTCCCCTGGCTGTGTCCCCTGGCTGCTGTTTTGGGCACTGTCCCACGGCCAGCGAAGGGGCCAGGACCCGGCCAACACTCCAGCAGGGAGCCCCTGGCCCCCAGCCCGTCAGGTCCCGCCCTGTTTGCCTTTCAGCGAGTTCGAGACCAGCCCGCCCAGTTTTTGCACGCCGGGAAAAGCTCGGTGGTGTCGGGGAATGGCAAAGGCTGGGAAAACACGGGGTGACAGGGAGGGACACGGCGAGCGTGATAACGGGGTGTGCAAACACACCGGGACTGGGCTCTGGGGTGCCAGGTTGGGCAAGGGGAGGGGTCCCCACACAGCCCTGGGGTCCCCACACCCTCCCTGTGCACATCCCGACCCACCCCTGCCTTGGGAATGTCTGGCACAGGGCAGGCAGGGAGGAAGCTCACAGGGATTCCCCCCCACCTCAGGACCCCCAGCCCACCTCAGACTCACCCACTCCTCCACGTTGGGACCCTCCTGGGCCACCGGCACCTTGTCCCAGTAGATGTTTGGTTTCCCGTATCTCCAGATCTTGCTCCGCGTCTTGTGAGCGAAGAAGCAGATGAGGCAGAGGAGGATGACGATGAGGAACCCGCAGACGATGGCCACAGCCTGGAGGGGAGGAGGGAGGGGGCTCTCAGGGCGGGGGTCACAGGGGCTGGGGACCCTGCATGTCCCTGGGACGAGCGGGAGTTGCTCCCTTCATCCCCAAACCCTCCTGGTGTTGGACTCCCACCACGGCGGGGGGAGAGGGGCAGGGTCCCCCCAGCCCGGGATGGAGCCCACCAGGGGTTCCAGAGATTTAGGGGCCAGGGCAAGCAATGCAGGGTGGTTTATTTTCCCATGGGGGCAGGACAAGTTTGGGATTTGGGAAGCAGCGTGGAGCTGCTCCAGCACCTCCCTGCAGCACCCTGACCCCAGCGCTGGCTCAGCCACGCGCCAGCTCCCACACCAGGCATCCCAAACGGCTGCCGTGAGCCAGATCCCTGCAGCCACACGGAAACCGGGATGGAGCAGGCCCTGCTGGGCCTTGGCAGGGAGCAGGAGCAGCCGGGGCCGGGCTCAGG